CCCCCCCCTCTCTCTCTCTCTCTCTCTCTCTCTCTGCGTCTTCCTTTCGATCTGTCGGAATGCGGCATCATACGAATCGCTCTTCCTCCTCTCCGTCCGAAAGGCAGTGCACGCTTCGCGCGATCACTCTTTCTTCCCGCTTGCCCTTAGCCTTTTTTTTCTCTTACCTCCTCCCTTCCTCCCCGCACTGCCCGACTTGTGAATACATCAACGAGTTAACGAATTTCGAAGCGCGCGAACTGGCACCCTTCTAATCCTGTGACTAACGTCCACGTCGAGAACAGAGCCGGCGCGAGCACGCGAGGATGTGGAGCGACTAGAGGCTTAAGTCTTAGAGATCCGCAGGATCTCGACTCCAACCCTGTTTCAGAGATCCCTTCTGGGAAGGGCGCGGGATACGCTGGACGACGTCTTTATCGTCTCGCATCCACCTCGTTTCGCTTCTCGCGCGTTAAGGTAACGACTCTAACATTTCATCGTGTAGCCATACGTTGCTTCCACGCGCAATTATTTAAAAAAAAAAACTCTTTAACACTCTAGCTAGTCTAGCTTATACTTTTTAAACACTTTATGATGTTATTAATATTAGTGATATTGTTCATGCAACATCAACATATATCAGTCTTTGCAGAGTTATTTTTTATCCCCAACTTTCCAAGTCGTGAGTGTCTATAATGAGACTTTTAACATTTCAATCGACTCATTATCGTTACTTTACTAGGCACAATATAGCATCGTCCGAAATATTTTCATTTCACAGTAATGAATAGAATCATTCACTCACGTACTTTCTCTTACTACAGATCACTTAACAAAAGATGAATAAAAAAATCTTTTCGAGTCGATAGCTCTTAATGTATTAATTTTCACAAAATTTTGTTTTGATATCTTCCATATGTGCAGAGCACTTTAACCACAATTCAAGAAAGTTAAGCAAGTAGGCGTAAACTGTACCAAAAGAAAATACTGCTCCAAAATACTCTAAAGCGTAAGTAGCGTCCACTTGAAAGACACGAGCTGAACGAAAAAGCTTAATGACGTGTGACTATTATTAGTCACACATTGACAAAGCGTCGCACAGCAAGAAACGAGCTGAGGGCGTCGAGGGCGTCTCGTCGAAGAGACGCGGCGAGACGAGAGGCCGTGCCGCGTTAGCGCGTTGCTCTCTTTATTTTTCATCCTTTCTCTCTGCTTTACATACGCTACATGGTTACGGTGGGGCCATCGTCCTCCGGCCGCTGCTGCAACATTGCAACGATTATTGTGCCCTGCTACCTTCACACGGTAGCAACGCGGTAGCAACAAGCGACTTCTTTTGTGTGAGGATGCTGCGAGGATGTCTCGCGGCGACACAATGGCTCGTTTCAAGCAGCGACCGGATTTCGGAGTCCGGAGTCACTGAATGGACCATTGGACCGAAGGGCAGACACAGTTGCCAAAGCCAATGAGGTACATCACGGTAATAACGTTGCATGGGCGTTAACGTATTAGGAGCGATTTCCGTTACATTGTTGACCGTTCTTGGACGACGTTTCCGAATGGAGTCCGAGCCGATCCCTCGAACTCGCGTCATTGCCCTTGCACCGCTAAAAAAAATCGCCAATCGGATGTATGTAGATCCGAAATACTCTTGCTAAGAGCGTAAAGCCCGCGTTCTACGACGATTATCCAGCTCGTCTCAATGCGATTCATGTCTCACGGCCGAAAATACGAGCAAATCACGAGGCCGACTTCCTCGTAGGAACACTAGGAACGTCTACGCCAATTAAACGAGCCGATATATATACTTGGCACGCAGACGCTACGTAATGGCGATTGCATTGCGCAATCTTGATTTCACTCGTGCGTAAAACTATTGTCCGTGGACGATCGGCCCTACCGCTTGGGCAAACGGGTCAGCTTCAGCGCTGGCGCGCGGGTTCGCAAGCCAGTTGGTTCGCGGTGGTCGACTAAAATTCAAGGTCCCGATTCTACTTCCGCGGTCGAATTTGGTCGACAGGCGCATCCTCGGTTTTCGTTTATCCGAATTTTTTCAAGGTTGCGGCCCCATGCGAGGACGATGTTCGTCGATTTGGGAGAAACCCGTTCGCACGGTCGCTTCGCACGATAAATACGAACATCTACGGTTAACGTGGGGCCGCGTTCGTTTTAGTAATTCGCAGACTATGTCTTGAGTAGCATTCGTGTTGCGATAAGCGATTACGCAAGGTAGTATATATACGTATGCTACGCGGCATTCATTGTCGGGGCCGCAACAAGGAATCATTACGTGCAGCCGGGCGTTACGGATATATGGAGCGGTATTTTACCGGCGCTTTAGCGGTAACAGAATTGTCTTACTTTTTCTGTCGACTTCTTTATGATTTTAATAATAAAAACCGGTAAAAGAAATTAATAAACGAGACAGTGCTTGAGCCGTTTTTGAAAAAGTAAATATCGCATTCAAAATTCACCAAAGAAGACATCAATGTACTCAGAAAAGACATTGTTTTTAAAAAAATAACAATTTATTAAATAGACAATTAGAAAATTAATTTTAATTTTAGCAAATCCTACTTCTTAATAAATAAATTTTTGTAGAACTTGTCTGCTTTACCGAGTAGTGTATTGTAAATATAATAAATTATTGTAGTAGTAAAAAAAATACACACGGGAGGATTACGCAAACGAAACTGGATGATAAAAATGCGTTATAGAGATAAAGAAACGGGAGAGGAGGGATGGACGGCAAGGAGAGCCGTAAGAAAGAACAAAGAAGGAAAAAAAAGAAGGAGGTGGAGCATAAAGAAAAGGCGCGCGAGATCGCAGTAGCAATCGGCGGACCCATCATTAAAAATCAGTTAACCTTGCAATTACCGTGCGAGTCCCAGCCTATTATGTGCGCGTAATCGGAAGAGGTTTTTTTGGAATAATCGTTCGTGTTGAGCGCATGGAGAAACGAGTTCGCGCGGGGCACCCGCCGATTATGCGACCGCTCGGCGGGAAGGAAGCGCTTTGTTTCGTAGGGAAGGCAGGTTTCGAAGGTAATAGCCGGAGACGAATGGCCAGTCTGTTTCGCACACATTTGCAAAATACTGATGACTTTGCGCGAGCAACACTTGTTGATAAACTCGCTCGAATCACGGCAGAAATGTCAGAAATTTCAACGTTTCCTATAATGACATGTCCGAAAGAAAAGTTCCGATCAGCAGAAGGTGTATCTATTCCTTCTTTCTATCAAAATTTCTAAATCGATCTCATTGTAGTTGATTTTCCAAACAACTTTTTTCTTTTCTATCAATTGAAATCACGACGGTTTGGTAATTTTTCAATCCAATCTTGGAAGCTTGAACGAAACAGTTATGCGAGGAAGCTTCCATTTAGCGGCCTAAGTAGTCACTTACGAGTCTATAACCCTTTCTTTACGTACGTTATTGCTTCGTTAAAGCGTCATTTTCTCCTCTCCTGATTTCCACCGTTCAAGACGCTCGGCAAAAAGCTATTTGGTGAATTTTATGTCCAACTCCGTTGCCGCTCATACACTTAACTCTGCACCATATATATATAAGATTACCGGAAGAGCCGTTTGCTCTCGATATGTTCGGCCGCTAACATCGAGAACTCGAACAGGTCAGAAAACAGAGCGACGACCGATCGGCGATGAGTGGTTACGAGTTACAGACAAGCTTGTCGGCACTTAAGTGGCGCCGAATAGGGACGCGTAAGTACAACCTGGACTCGGTATTGATGGTGTATATACGTATATGCGAGAATCGACCGCGTCAACAATTTCAAGGTACGAAAAGATGAGTTTAAAATCTACTTACCCATAGCTCCGATTGGAGTGGAGAATCCGACATTAATCGATCCACTGACCCAACAGTCATCTCGATAACGAATCTGAAACATTAATCATAACGTATTAACGCTTAAGGCGTTAGATATACAACCACATTTATGCATGCGCGCGTGTTTTTAGTAGTTTTAAAAAGCATAATTTTATAAGAAGATAATGCAAGCTAGATGCATATAAAAATTGAGATATTATTTAATATAGTATGCAATGCTGTATCACATAATCGAGATATTATATCGACCATTTACCTTAATTGTTTAAACATATCTTTATTACAAATGCTTTTAACAATTATTTAATAAGTTGTTTAAACTTTTTTTATTAATGCTTACACCTGCAACGATATAATTTCGCCAAGGAGATATCAGTCTTGCATGCAATCTCGATAAGAGCGATCATATCATGTCGCTCGCTTTTGTTGATGAGAAGACAGGCCCGAGCGAGTTGCACGGACCAACAAAGTCGAAGTCAGCTCGTGGGCCTCGGCTGTATATGATTAATGCGACCCACTGTGGCGAACGCAATATAGAACGACGTGCCTCATTTGCATTTGCGTTTCGAGGACCACCGTGTTTGACGTCGAAAACCTCTTAACGAGGAATTATTAAGGAACAATTAAACTCTTGACGAAACTCGCGGTGTACACTGCCAACATATCTCGCATAACGAAAAACGTCCGAAGGGGATATTCAAGCGTCGTTCTTAATCGGTCTTGTGTTTTATCTGATGTTTCCTAATGAGATGCGTTTGTTTTTCTTACGACAGTTTGACAATTGGGCAACGTATATATCCATGTTCAATTAATCTAAGTGAATTGATCCAATTATTTTCTGCGTAACGTATAAGCGGTGGAGAAATATATTTTTCCTAACGCGAGCGTGAAATGGGTCGCTTTTCGCGCTTGTTTTGAGTGAGCAAAACGATCCATTTCTCCACTAGTTGAAAAATGGAGCCATTTCTCAACTAGTGGAGAAATAAAATTGTAAAACAAGCGCGAAAAACGGCCTGTTTCACGCTCTTGTTAGAAAAAATAGTATGAACAACTCGTGGGAAGAGTCGAGCCAAAATGAGTGTGATGGTCGCACTCGCTTCGCTCGTGCAACCAACTTCACACTCATTCAGAATCGACCACTTTTCCCACTAGTTGTACAATATACTATTATATTAAAATAATTTCTTTTACGTTGTTCTCTCTATTATCTAACTAGTGACTTTTTTACTATCTCTATACTAATAATAAATATATAGATATTTCGTAGACATATTTCTATTTAAATGTCTATTTAAGAATTAATAAAAAAAAGATATAAATTGTCGTCGAAAACCTGTTGATGAGGAATTATTAAGATACACAATTAAACTCTTCACGAAACTCACAGTGTACACTGCCAACATCTCGCATAACGAAAAACGTCCAAAGTCGATATTCATGTCCCTTATGAAAATTCTTCAGAATTATTAAAATTACTACTGCCAATACAGGGTTTGCAACAACGTCGCACAAGAGTGTTCCCAAATTATTACTTTATAAGAATAAGAGGTCTCAAAGGAAACTACTAACGCGCAAGCAGCGACACGTATTCGCAACCGCGTGGGCGTTTATTGGTGACCTGTTTAACACAGGCGACAGTTAGTAGATTCAATGATCGTGTAATTGTCAGCGGGAAACCGGACTACCTCTCCTTCGCTTTGCCCGCAAGCTATTTTGCAAATCTTACGATTACTCCAAGAGGCAAGATGAAGTATGAGAATTGATGGAATACCACTAAGTTCTTGTGCGCCAATAATATCGTTTATTGTCGATTCAAATTTATGCAAAACTGTTTCATAAGCACGGCTTAGCGCGAGAGGCAAAAAGTAAAGACATGTCGCAATAATTCATTAAAGTTCGCATTTTTCTACGATTTTCATAAATTACAAAGAGGACCCCATCCACTTAATGCGCGTTTCCTCAAATAATCTGAGCAATAAAACTGAGTAAATAAACTGAGAAAAATATACTCAAATCGACCATTTTATGTGACAAACACTAATAAAAAGATTTTATATCCTCGCTGAGATCTCCCTGACTAGATTACCAACTATTTTCCTGCAATGTATTGACGATTTTCGCGTCACTCAGTAATCTCGTCAAGCCATCATAAAGATGCTGCTTCTCTCAGCTGGAAACCGTTTCTCACACTTTCTTACGGCTTTCCGCGACGCGATAAGCGGCCCGCCAATGGATCCGCGGAGTTGCGGATAAAAATGCTCGGCACTCGTGCGCTCAAAAGATCTTCCGCGAGAAACGATCTTCCATAGAGATTCGCGCACACCCACGCGAAGAGACACGCGCTTCCATGCAGGTGCGTGCCCACGGGTTCGCGGGGGTTAATGCGTCGAGTAATAATTAAAACGCCATTTCGCGCGCGCACGGCGCGAGAAAGGTGAGACGCGAGAGGCGCGATTATAAAGCCGCTGCCGCGCCTATCTCGTAACGGTTTGGTAAATGGACCTCTCTGTGGACGGTCATATTATACATATTGCGGCGTGTAGCGTCCAGTGAACGAATACGAGGAGGAAGATACGAGACGATGAGCGCGTAGATCCAGCGGAGTCGCGGCGGAACGCTTCAGAGGTCGTCCGCGACCTCTCAAGAGACCCCGAGAGGTTTGCGTTTTTTCTCAGATACTAGAAACCATCGACTTTCGGTCGAGTCGGCACTCGATCTTCCGTCGGTATCGCGCGCGCGATCGGGGACGACGTTTAATAAAAAGACCGGCGTTGTGTGTATGTATTCCGGTAATCTTAATAATGGCATCTCGACGAGATTCTCCGTAACGTCCGACACGACGCGCCGAGGAGGAAAATTTTTCTGCTCGTAGCGAATCATTTTGCATGCACAGATGTATATACACGCGGGGCTGATGGTCATACGCAAGTACACATTATAAGAATGATCTCGCGCGGGCGCAAGCGCATGTCGCAATTAACACTTACGTAAGAAGGTAATTGAGAAACCGCGCGGCTGCTATCTGGTGGGCAAGATGTACCGTATCGAGGAGGTTTATAATAATTCGGTGCCGCTGCGAAGATCCGCGCCTGGCACTTACATAGCGTTCACATTTAGCGTCTACGTTTAATTTCCTGCCGCAACAACCAGCGTCCTCGCTCAACAATTGATCCTGTCACGTTTACGCGTTAAAATTTCCATAACTCACATATGCGTTGCCTCGGTAAACGTAACCGCGTAAAACGTTTATCTCATTCTAAGCGATTTATATCGATGCGCACGTCTTCTCGTTGATAGAAAAATTACTTCTTTTTACCTTGTACTTTTTCTCTTAACGACATGATGCATTTTATGCAAGTACGTTTGCATGATAATCTGACGTTCGTTTATATGTGTACTAAAAGGATCTGAAATCATTAGGTTTGAAAAGATTAATTGACATGAGATAAGAAATGCGTGAGATAATTTAACCTTTGAATCAAGTTTCTTTTTAAACTGCAGATAAAATTAAATGTTAGTGAAGATTGGCAAAATGAAAGGATACGTCGAGAATTAATAAATCAATTTTATATTTCACAAAATATCAGGATTATAACAAAATTTATCTACCGAATACGGAATAAGCGGAGTCCCGTAATTATGAAACGTATTAAATTTAGTCACGATAGACGAGCGACAACCGCGCCTCGGCCTAATCATAGACGATTAGACGCGGTGAAGCGTTCACGAGGCATGACAAAGAACGAAGTGTCGATTCTTGCCCCTCGCCGGCAATTATTAATCGCACTTAGCGCTAATGACGACCGCGCGGCGTTCGTATATGTATGCTAATGAAGCGTTCCTCTATTTTCCATAGGGATAATATAACATTGGATGCAACAGTGATTAGCATGGCGATGCGGGTCCCGGCCGATGAGGCGATTCCTCAGGGCGGTCGAGTGGATAAGTGCAGAGGGGAATATTCTTCAATGTCGCGCCGAACCGATGAAGACCTCACTTGGACCTCACCTGGACTTCACCTCACGGGGGTGGTGGCCGCGGGAGCCTTGACCTGCTGGCGTGCCGCCAGCTTAATCCGGCGTTTTAGCACGAGCGAGGGAAGGCTCGATCCCGGCCACTTAAATGAGCGGTCAAAGTGCGACATCCGGTTATACGTTAACCGGCGTCAAAACCGAAGAAATATTACGCCGCGCGCTGCCCTTTCATATTTTCATGCATTCTCATTTATTTTCTTGCTCGTAAGAAATTCATGGTCATCGTTAGCAAAATGAGTTTTCTATTAAATCGCCCCTTGTAAGGAGATAGAAGAAATATGTAGCAAGTTACTATAACTATATACGTACATATATATGCTTTATTATTAATTATATTTATTATAATTCAATATACGATTTATCAGTGCATTTCAAGTGTGTTTCTTAGTCATCAGTGTATTTCTTAAAGCGGTGCCAAGCGGTGACACGCACGTCCGAAGCATACCATACAAGTTACGTATGTAACAAAATAAATAATTAATGGCATTCTCAGTAAAACGAAACTGGAATAATTGTACACTTCAAATACCGATTAACTACGTAAATTTATCGTCCGTTATAACGTCGCGGCTCGCACGACTCGCGTTACGCGCGTGAAATTGATTTAAGATTAAATCACAGCGCGCGACTATTAGCGATAAAAAGATCGGAGATTACGAGAGACGCACTACGTTGTAAGCATTTAACCCCAAATGGCGAAACATATTTTACCTGACATTACGTTTATGTGAAAAGACGTGGAAAACGGCAATGCGCGCACCTTGTAAATACAATAAATACTCATTATTCCACTTTTGTTATTAAAAGCTTGAGATTTTCCTAGACTATCGCGTAAAAACTTACTGCGAAACGGTTAAAGAACGGCCGGAAGCTGCATTGCCAAATATCCGCGACGATGTATTATTCGCGAGGATAGTTATTAGCAGTGACACAAGACGCAATTAACCCGTCCGGACGAATCCCTGGGTACGCGACGCACGCATCAGGCGGCCGCGGCGCGTCTCTCTCTCTCTCTCTCTCTCTCTCTCTCTCTCTCTCTCTCTCTCT